CCATAAGTTATGAACAAGCACCATTATTACTTTTCAAAATGTCATCAGTCACACTGGTCAATTTTACAGCCACATCATAATCAGCCTCTCATTCATATCACATAATAAAATGTTCACTTTGTCTGGTTTTGTTGCAGTATGCCCCACATATATACATAAATAAATAAATAATAAATAAAAATCCATCAAATCTGCCTATATACTCACTCCATACATTTTTCTCATTAATTCCAGTAATTAATTGTGTCATTATATATATATATATATATAATTTAATTCCAATTCAATGAATAAAGAAAACAATTTGTTTTTTTTTTAGATTATGATGCATTGATAAAAGTAGGTGATAAAAATTGGGTTTCATTTGATTTTGGCATTCTAGTTCTGGTGATTATATAAATAAACTCATCTCTAAACAAACAAACAAACAATCACTGCTTTTGCTTTGTCAATTAATAGATCTGGCCATGACTTTTTAATCAAAAATGGTAATGTAACATTGCAAAATTATAAAATAAAGAGATTGTTTAATTATTTTAATTATTATTTAATTCTACATGGATTAGATTATGATGATTAGCCACTGTTGTTCAATCTGGAAAAATCATTATAAATTTCTTCACTGCAACCCCTCCACCCTGCTGCTCTCTGATACCACCTGTCAAATTCATTTCAAGTATTAAAAATGAAAATGCTGAGATAAAGAGCATTACACCTCTGACTCTAAAAAAAGTGAAGAATATTAAATAGAAATTTTACAAAGAATTGATAGATGTAAATGTATATATACAATACATTGTGAAGGATGGCTTGATGTTGAGCTATAGATCAATCAAGATGATGAATACAAGAAAATACATGAGGGACATGTGAAGGTGATAGAGGTATGTCAGCATATACTCTTGGTCTTCTTCTATGTATATACTGTAATTAGAAAAGAAATGGGGAAACAGTTAGTCAAAGGACTAAGCAATTATATATAAGATTCATTTTTTTAACTTCCATCTATTTTAGTTATTTATCATCTGATTTTATTAATATATATTCTTTGTACATAGCATTAGATTATTACTATAAGAGCAAGAAAACTTTTTTCAATTGTAAACAATTAATTGGTTTAAATTGTTAATTTGAGGCACTAATTGGTAAAAATGCATTTTCTAGTCTTATATTTACATTGTAAAAATCAAATGATGTGATTTTTCACAAAATAGTCAAGATGTTTGGTTGGTAGCAAGTGCCATCTGATTATTTATTTTTTTTTAAAAAAGATTAAAATGAATCATAATGTTAATATTTATTATGTACGTTTTAGGCTTTCCTTTTTTGGTATTATGTACATATATTAACCATATATGGCAATGACAACACAGATCGGTCCATAAAAAGAAGGACCCTGAATATCACATTTTTTTAGGGCTAGTCTCGTGCGGCAAAATATTTTCGTTTTCAACAACCATTTGTTTTTGGTCATTTACTCAACTTGCATGGGAAATAATCTAACAACTTATAGAAATTCAAAAAAAACCATTATTATTGGTATATCAATCAATTTTTTCTCCTAAGGAGGCAGTCAATTTATTAAAAATATGACAAGAATGGCATTGAGCTTCTTGCTCACCAACTAAAATAAATAACTACCATCAATTTCTTGTTCTATTGTTTCTTCTTCAGTAGACAATTTTTTATTTAATTGTTCAATTTCAATTTGTTTTTTTTTCATTTGATGAATTTTATTTAACAACAAAGTAAAATCATTAGTGGACATTGTTACTGAATCATTATTAATATTTACATTAATATCATTAAATGTAACATCATGTCTTGATCATTTGAATCATTTGATAAATCTTCAATAGTAAAACTATAGATTTGTTCTTGGAAGTTTTCATTCATATTTTGATTTTCAAAAGAATCAAGATTTTTCCCTTTTTTTGGTTCACATATTTGTAAATGATGGAACCTGCAAAATTGAGATTCGTTGACTTTTAAATAATTGAAATATGAAAATGTTCCACCATCAACTGATTTAGTATATGAAACTGTAGTAAATTTTCTATAAGGTTTTGGATTTTTTACAATTAAGAATGAAACAAGGACCTTTATTAGGTTGGGTCATTTTAATTAAAAAATAAATAAATATTTTATGAAATTTTTTTATTGACTATGTCGATCGTGTAACATGATGATTTCGAATGTCGATCAAAATCGAAAGTCCACTATGCTACCTACTATATGATCTTTGTACTATTGGAAAAAGTTGAATATAAGTTAAAGTTAATCAAATATATAAAATAAATACTTATTTCTTTAAAGTATAATAATAATGAGAATATAAAATAAGTCTTTACCTGCAAGTATAATAATGACTTATTAATAAAGTAAATGTTATCATTTATATTTTTTAAAAAAAAAAATAGACAATAATAATAAACAATAATGACACAATTCTGACTGACAAGATCACAGAAGCCTTAAACTTTTACTTCTAAGGTAACTTGTTTGAAATCAAATTGATCAAATTGATCAAGTTTTACCCAAATATAAAGAAAAGTCAAAGTGATATATTAATATATATATAAAAAAAAATGGATTTTCCATAAAATGAGTTTTGTGCGCAGTCACGCTACTTTTTTCTATTCTAAATTCAATTGAAATAGCAAGTTTCACAATATAAAAAAGATCAACGATCGATTTTGTCACAAGTGATAAAACGAATGTCCACTATGCTATTTTTGATTGGGTAGAGGTATGACTATCTTATACTAAAGAGGAGTGGTAAAGCGGTTTTTAGTGTACCCAGGAGTGGTGTGGTACACTCTCTTAAGCAGCGGATGTATATACCTCTAATATAGTTGTTTGGGTCCTTCATCAGCAATTAAGGTACCTCATTTTTGGGGCACTCCACAAAGGGGTGTTTAAAATCGCCAGATCGCACCACCTTCTACCCAATCATATTCCTCCGTTAATTCAGCTTTCAAAAAAGAAATATATTTCATTTTTGGAATACAAACTTTATAAATAAATTAAATAAATTAATAAGTTAATAAGTTAATAAAAAAAGATGGCTTTAAATGATATTACACCAAGAAAAGTCAATTTATGGATTAAAAATATGGAAAGCATAGTACACCTTACTAAAACATTAAGTGAAAAACTTAATGATGATTTTTTGTCAGTGGAATGGGTTATACATAGAATAAATAGAATGTAAATATAATAAATAATTTTGAATTCCATATTAATAATATAAATGAATTACTAATAATATAAACCCTAATAAATTTATTTAAGGAATGGAAAAATTGAAAATATTACAGAAAAAGAAGAATCCTTAATTAGGAAGTACCTTTCTTATCAAGTTTCATCAGTGCTTATTCAAGCAATTGTAAGTAAAATTTTCTTTAGTTTTATTACCTCCATTAATAATTGATAATAATAATAATATTTGTTTTTAGAGTGCAATTATATTTAGAAATCCAAATAAAATATATGAAATTTGGAAGCAATTTACAGTAAAATATAATTGTCTTTGTCATATTATATACATAAATCTTTTTTTAAAAAATTTTAAATTCACATACATGCACAAATAATAATATTTTAGAAAAAATCATGTTTGGTGACCTATCAGCACAAATTAAAACTATCAACAGGATTACCAATTGAAACACCAATAAAAGAATTTGGTGATAAGGTCTTAAAAAAATTAAAGGAATTAGAATCAGCTTTATTATTTGATAAAAGATTTGCAGAGTTATGGGATGAAAATGCCATGCCACCAAGAATGTTAAGACCATATTATGTTGTAAATGATATTGATAAAGATGATATTCCTTACTTAGAGGTAACACAATATATATAGATATGTTAATAATACTATTTTTTCTAAAAAAAATTTTTTTTTTTTTTTGCTAGTTTGTTGCCGAAAATTTGTTTAATATAAAAGTTATAGAACCTGATACAACATATAATTATGGATGCTCTTGTGAAGATAATTGCAAAGTTATT